GTTGGCCTCCAAGAGTTTCCAGCTATCGCGGCGGCGCGGTGGTCTCGATTACCTCCATTATGAAAGATCGATTCGAAATAAATCGCGATCGAATATTACGTTTACGATTGCACCTGTGCAGTAGTCAATCCGTTTGGGTGCAAACGGTAGATCCAGTCCCGCATGCATGGGAAATGCCATGCCGCGGCATAATAGGGTGTGCTCATGAGAATATATTAGTCTTTGATCTAGACTTATCGATCCGGCCTATCGACGATGCCCTTCTTTCGCGTCGGAACTTTCAATCGAGAGGTACAAAGTACCCTGGCACGAGGTTTCCTTCATAAAAAGTTGCCCCTCGACTTAATGCAAATTCCAGTTAATATTCAAATTGCACTTCAAATATTAATTGAACGTCGGGATTTAATGGCGACGGAATACTGGAAATTATTAATGTCGCGTAACCGCGAGTGACGCCAACTCCCGACGCGTTAATTATTTATAGAGCGGGCAGCGCGCAGCTCGGATACTTCGTAGAAATAATAAACTTTTTGTAACATTCTCCGGTGCAAGCGAGCAATTGAGGGAGCAGTGATCATACGGTGCGGAGATTCAACTCGCGGAGCGGTCCGAGAGCGGGAACAACGATTGTATTCCAGAGCGGGGAATAGTCATTTGAAAATTTCGCACAATTCGCGCAATTCGCGCAATTGTCGGGCGCGCACGGTGCCCTACGAGCTGTCGGCGTTTCGCGGCATGACGAAACCATAAAGCGAGCTCGTAAACCAAGTGTTAATGCCCGCTAATGTGCGTAACGTAAATAATGGCGACCGCGTTTCCGGAGGAGCGACTGGAAGGGTTGCATACCATAACGGGGCGAGGGATGGAATTTAAAAAAGCCCTAACCTATCTCAACGCGGCCTGACATAACTCGATATAAGTGTAAAGTTCCCGAGCGTCCTTCGGGAACCGGTCGGACTCCTTTGTTCTGGAATGCCGGGAAGAGGAACGGATTATTCCGTAAAAAGGGTAGGCTGGGGGGGACAGGACCCGCGGGGAAGGGGAGTTAAGGACGCTGAAGGTCCTTTTGAAAGCGGCTGCAAATGTCGGTGCATATACACCGACTCGGACCGGCGCGAATGAAAGTAAAATCATTAATCTACCGAGTGATACACGGCCCGTGGATAAGCCCCACCGCTACGGGTACGATAATTATTGCAAGTGAAATGCCCCCATAATTGGAGGATGATGCGTGACTTCGACTACTGGTAAGTGCAATTCCCATCCGTCATAATTAAATCCGCGCCGGTATTTCCTCGGATTGGAAGACTCGGCTGCATGGATGCACGCCTCCGATGCGATAGATTTTTCCTCGGGAGAGTGAAGTCTAATTGTCGGACTAAACAGTCGGGATTGCAGCTTTTCACCGGGTGCGACTTATATCTATATTCCCGTTGCCTTTAATTTCTGTTTTACTTTTTCGTTGCGAAGGGCGAAGGGAATTATTTACAAAAGAGTAGATACATCGCATAGCTTATCACACAGAGGCAGACGAGCTTTCTGGCCTCCACGATGACATAAATTACCCGGAGCTCATAATGCCCCGACGTATACCTGCGCAACGCGAGAGTCATGCGCGAGCTTTGTACGTACGTCGGTGCAATCGCTATCCGAGGATCAAAGAGCTTTCGCGAGTTTTACGGGATATACGCGTATCTGGGCTCGATCTTTGGTATTTCTGTCTAAGGGCATTTTATTGCCCTAAGGTTCCATTAACTTGGAAGCTTTAACGAAACGATAGCGCAACGCGAATCCGAACACGTTCGCGAGCGTTTGGACGCCACCATAAAAATCTATGCAAATTTCCCTGCAAGTGCACCACGCGGGTTTATTGCGCCATCGCCGTGATGCAATCGTTGTAATTAAAATGCGGGATTGCAAGAAGTTCATAATTAGAAAGTTATGCGGCACGGTTATATCGGTGATAAGGCCTCGATATAATTAGAATAACGTGTTTCCACGAGGTGTGATTATTTAAATGTACGCCTTTTTCCTGCATTCATTTCCTCGATTGATTTCGTATCACGAAAAGATGTCGATGGCCGAGAGTCGAGAGAGGAAGACATTGGGTGATGGAAAATTCTGCCTCCTCTGAACGGAGGACCGAACAAAGATCAAGGGAAGACTGAAACAAAGAGACCAGATGGCTGACCCATCTTGGTAGTTGTAATGGGAAACGTATCCGGAGGCTGGCCGAGGTTTCTGGTGATTTCGGCTTCTCGACCCTCGGGCGCATCTGTCGTTTCCAATTCACCCTCTTACCGACTCATTGCGCTACTTTCCGGTCACGTCTTTAGCGTTTCGTTCTCAACATTTCGAGATTTCGCTTAACGTCGTGTTAACAAAGACCCGAGATATCAACGACGTCGTTGTCCGAGAGATAATGGCCAGCGAGGAATCCAAGGGATCGGTTGAATATGTATATTAAAAATCGCCTTTTTGCGACTCGTGCAGCTAATGGTGGGTTTCGATGGACCGACGGAGTGGCAGTCCCGCGATCCTCCCGACCACGGTATAAACAATAGGGAAACAAAACCAACATTCGTCGGAAGCCGGGAGCTCAGCCACTCGCTTTAAACACCGGCCTCCGGGAGCCACCGGGAAGAAAAAAACTTTTAATTGCTTCGTGGCGAGAAATTACAGCCGTACACTCGAATTCGCCCTGCTCTCTTGCTCGCCTCGTGGTTTACATCCACGGTGGCTTTTACGAGTCGTCGCATAATGCGAAACCCACGACACGTGTCTTTGGTCTTCAAGGGGCGCACGACGACATGCCGGATGCTCGCATCTGACGTCGAGATGTCGGAAAACACCGGAAGGAAAATGTCAGTTTTGTCAGGTTTTACGGTAAACGCCACATGGCACGCCGAGGAAGGTGCCATTACAGCGACAACAAACGACTGCAAAAGATAAAAGTAGAAACGTTGTCTTCCTAGGACCGTACTTACGCGCAGATTGCTTAAACGAGTATTATTCTATAACAATAAAGTACGCCTAAATATTCGGGCCACCGAATTTGAAGAGAAGATGCGAGTTGAAATTCGACCCACCGAGATGCAGATAGGTCAAATCATCGGCCACCATGGGCATCGATAGATCGGCTTATGGCTAGGATCATGGTCGGGATCGCGTATAATGGCATCGTCTCTCCTCGACTCGGTGGGTGTCGTACCCATCCTCGGCGTAACACGCTATCAAAAGGTCTACTAATTACATGGAGATGCACCGTGATTATCGACCGTTTCGTTTGCATATTCCTTCCGTGCCCTTTGCTCCGCCGCAATAAATACTCGGTTTCGATTTCTACCGCGTACCTGCCGAGCTCTCTTGGATCCGGGTCTTAATTAATTCGTTAAGAGGTTTCAAAGATAGGTACCCGTGCTCCCAAACTATTTTCGAATACCATCGGGAAGACTCGTACGATATGTTTACACGGAGACGTCGAAACGCGCGCATCTCGAGGAGCAGGCCCGTTGATGCGCCTTTCGGCAGGTACGTACGTTCATTATCGAGTACCACGGGGAATTTTCATAGGCACTATATACAGCGAAGCCTGTAATTTCCCGGAATAACGACGATACTCGGTTGCGACGGTGCAGGGCGGCCACTCCGGTGCAGTAGGTATCTTTACGACTTTCTCAAATGCGCCGTAGCGACTAAGTACCCAAAGAAATCCTCGCCGGTCGCCATCCCACTCTCGCCCCTTTATTAATCCTCGGTTGGGCAGTCCTGCAGTTAACCGGCGGACACTTTTACTCAAGGATTCCGTAAAAAGTGTCAGCTCTGCCGAGGCACGGCGGTCGAGGCCGTCCTCGGACGACAAAAGAGGCGCTCGGAGGCCCAGCCTTACCCAAGGTCAGGGCCCACGTGGAGAACGATTTAGGGCCCAGGTCAGCGCTTCGCGTGTAGCAAATCGCCACGTGAGCGGGAATCCGACGCCGCGTGTCGCCTCTTCCCGTGATCGATGACCCTGCTCGGCGGGGTCCTGGAAAAAGAAGTCATTTGTATTCCCGATAAACGAAGGTACAGGGATGGCGACTAACCGGGTCGTCAACTCGCGAACCGCGCGAGAGTCCGAGTCGTGGAGGTGCCCTAACCTTGGTCCGCCCAAAGCCTTAGATAGCGTTTAATCTGGGAGCAGCGAAGACTCGACTGCTCTATTATTAGAGCCGTTCGCTTCACCGAGCTACCGGTTTTTTCCTTCCCAACATCCGACCGAAACTACGCGCGCTCGGCTACGCTCGACGCGCTCCATCTCCTCTCTTGGGCCTTCTTAAAAACTTATACGCGTACGTTGCACTTGACCGTATATAGAGTCAGCCTTGCCGTCGAGCTAACGCGCTCGCAGCGACGCGTCGAGTTTACGGGTTCCCGAGACCCATTCTACGCCGGTGCCTAGAGTAATCTCCGTAGTCTACGTCGAGGCGGTTTAACGCGGATTCGCCGAGAGAGCGCGCACCTCTCCCGAGTTGCGCGTAAAATAAGACCGTCTTTCGAAATATAATCTACTTTCCAGGGCGTTTTTTGCTCGCCCCGAAGGCGGCACAGGACGGCCGCGACGCCATCTTGTTTCCTTCTTTCTTTTCCTCATTGGTCCAGATACGCGGGCGCGAGACTCGGACAATTCCTCGGGCCGATCTACCGATATCGACGAATGAAAAAGGATCGGCAAGCTCGCGGGAGAGGAAATCATCGGTTGCACCCGAAGCGAGTCGAGGGGGGAGCTTGAAGGGATAAAAGTTAACCTGGCAGCCAGGGTTTCCACGTCTTAAATCGTTAATCCCTTCGCCGGGAAAAGTTGTCGGTTCTATGTTCTCTAGTAGGAGCGTACCGGCGCCCCCCACCCCGGGCAGCCTCCGGCCGAGCGGAGCCGGAGACGCCCGAAGTCGGCCGAGCGCGCTCGGCCGCCGTGGCGGCGCTCCGCCGCTTCCGCCGCGGCCTCAGTCCCTCGTGTGAAGCCGGCCGTATTGGGTGTGTTCCTCGCTGACCTCGGCTGAACTCCTCGGTGCTTCTCTCACCGGTCGCTGTCCCTCTTCCGTATAACAGTGTTTTCGACCGACGTTCCCCCTCCGGGCCGTGTCATCCCCCGCGTCGCGTCGGGACGGAATCAAGTGCGAGATTAAAATTGTGGCCGGTTCTCCTCGACGCGGGACGTTGGATTTCCACACCCCGGGACCTTTAATCGGCCTCACCTCTCACCGGCCGGACCCACCTTTGGATTATTCGCCGGCCTGCGACGCGGATCTCTCCAAGGTAGGACATCCGTTACGTCCGCGCAGACTTTCGACCCGCGAGTCGTCGTTCCTTCGTAGATTCATTCGCCTGCTGCGGCGGACCGCCGTGAACGGTGTCGCCAGCGATGCCGCGACGTTAGCGCCGGGAGAAAGATCTCGATCCCTCTTTTACCTCGGCGCATAAACATTACGTAAATCCCCTGCCACTGGCCCGGGTGTAAATTGGATCGAGCCAGCGGATGTTGCCGTTACCGGCGAGCCGAGGCTAGCTTACCTTTTACCTCGACTTCGGAACCATATTAACGACTTTCGCCGACTTTCGCGAGAGGCCGACCACCGCGAACGGTTTCACGAGTTACGCCGTGAATTTAGCGCCGGATTAAAAGTGTCCTTTGCTACGCCGAGGTGAATATATAAGTCGAAATCCCTGCGGGGAGTTAAATCTCGCGATCTATGCCCTGAGCCGTGTAAACTGGATCGAAACGTCGGATGTTGTCGGCGTATCGTGTGAACTAGGGTTAGAGTGCCCTTGAAGTCGACCGCGGAAGTTTATCAGCGGCTTTCCGAGGGCTCCCGTTAAGTCCATGCCGCTTCTCTTGTTTTCCAAGAGCGTCTGCGCCGGTCGATGCGACCTCGGTCCGAAATTCGGGATTCGAATTCCTGGGACCGTCCCAGGAAACAAATCTCGGGTCGTTGACCGACCGGCGAGATCTCGGCGGTGCCCTTGCGGGATTTCGGACATCGGATCAAAACCGGCCGGGGTAAACCGAGTCCTCGGATATTACCGACCGATGTATGCTACGGTCCCGTCCTATTAACCCCTTGCCATACTTTGACGAGCCTGACTCGTGATACAAATTTTGGACCGAACATTAACATCACCGGTCAAACTCATCTCAATCTCGTATAAAAGGAATTTCCCTGCTTCTGCGGGCATCTTTCCTCGCCATTTCGGCTAGTTTTCTGAAAATTATCGTGCTATACTTTTGCCCGGACTTTGCCGAGGTAATTTGTACGGCAAAGGGTTAATGGAAATGTTACCGCGTGGCGACACACCGCGGTGCCTGCAAGCGGCCTTTAAATCCGGTTTTCCGTGAGGCACATTTTTTTTTCCTCGGGTCAGGAAAAATGCACCCGACACCTCGGATATGGGTATTTTTAGGTTAGGACTAGGGTATTTTTACCGAGGTCCTTTTCGATCGTTACGCCATCTCAGGATAGTCAATCCATAACGTTATGTGACTTTAAAGTTACAAACTCGTACATTCGACATACCAAGGTATTACGAAAGCATCCTATATGTATATATCCCAAGAAGTGGAAATATTTATAAAATTTTCTCCAAACCGCGGGCGCACCGAATAATTTGAAACTTTAACCACTTGATTATGGAAATCCTAATGAAGGTCTCGAAACTACTGGAATTTCAGTTTCGACAGAAATTTTGTAATTGTCCCGGACAAGGAGCTAAAAAGAAATTTATTTCGAAAAGTGAAATTTCGTTAATTTCAAGACCTTCGTAATCACGTGTTAAAGTTTCAAATGATTCGGTGCACCCAGTTTGGAGAGAAGTTTTATAAATATATTGTTATGTTTTGATACAGAGAATGACCTTTTGGTATCATATTGTCTTATTAGAAATTTCCGGAAAAATTTAACGTAACGCCTTGTTACTGTACCACTAGTTTGGAACTATATTTGTTTATAAATTGTATCTACGTTTAAATTCATACAAGTCTATACAAATTGCATAGTTATAAACAGATGGTCAATATCTGAATCTTAAATGTTTGCAAATTTAACGTTATATGGGGTTTCTGTTGACTCGAAAGTAGGGTTGGGTTACAGAGGGTTAATTATTAGTTGGATTCGCATCGAATCGACAATTGCTGAAAATCCGAAGGATCACGAGTTTGTGACTATATTTGTTTATAAACTGTATGTATGTTTTAATTCATACAAGATTATGCATATTGCAGATTAATATATCGGTCAATATCCGAATCTTAAATGTTTACAAATGTTACGTTATATTGGTTTTCTCTTGACTCGAAAGTAGGGTTTAGTTGTAGAGGGTTAATTATTGGCTGGATTCGCGTCGAATCAACAATTGGTGAAAATCCAAGTGGGCACTAGTTTGTGACTACATTTGTTTATAAATTGTATCTACGTTTTAATTCATACAAGTTAATACAAATTGCAGATTTATAAATAGACGGTCAATATCCGAATCTTAAATGTTTGCAAATGTCACGTTATGTTGGTTTTCTCTTGATTCGAAAGTAGGGTTGGGTTGCAGAGGGTTAATTATTAGTTGGATTCGCGTCGAATCGACAATTGCTGGAAATCCGAGGGGGGGCATCGGTTGGGCGGCAGGGTCCAGCCTACTTTCGCGGACTCTCGCTCCTCTCTCTCTCTCTCTTTCTCCCTCTCCGTCGGCGGATCCCTTCGGGGCCTTCGGGACCGAGAAAGTGAAAGAGACCGAAGGAAAACGTCCTCGGGGGAGTCGCGGGTACGCGAAGGTCGCCATTGGTACCGAGAGCCCGATGCATCCTTTCTGCATCGTCCTAGCTGCATTCTTGAAAGTAGGAATCGATTTAACTTTCCAACGTAGGATACACAGGTCCCGAACACCCGATCGCTTCCTTGATATCCCCGTGACCGTGGCGAAAATAAAGAATCGCGCCCAAGGGACGGTCCTAATCCTCTTTCTCAATTTAGCCGGTCGCCATATCGCGCCGCGCAGTCACTTTGCAAAATTCAAGAGAAACAGAATGTCCTATGTATTTTGTTCTTCAACGATGCTGCCCTCCACAGCCAGATCGTCTTTCCGTATCGATATATCCCGTAAACGCGATAATAATCGAGAAGGCTTTCAGGCCGCAATTCGAACGCCGTACGACTCATTGTTAGTACAGTCAAACGATATACGCGCCGATCGGGGGATTCGGGAAAACGCGCCAGCCGATGAATGGCCCCGACAAGGCTCGTGTAAACACCGAAACGAGTTAAAAGGACGCCGTTTACGCAACGGGGGGATACATTGTACGGGAGTTTGAAACGGCCGTGCGGGAATCGGAGAACGACGGATTAGATGAAAGGCGGACGACCTTGCGCGGATGCCGCTCGGAGGAGGGCGACAAGGACGGCGATACGGTGCCGCAACATTGTTGCATCTACTCTGGAAGCGAACTTATCTACTTTGGATATTGGAATCGCGGATGTCGAGAGATTGGGGATCAGATGCGTAGCACGATCCGACGTCGATAAAGGGGTCGCCGATTACGTCGGGCCGACGATCTGGCTGGGATGCGACATCTTTTTCTTTCCCCTGATTTTTCACCTTAATTTTTTTTATTATTATTATTTTTCTATTATTTTTCTTTCATCGCGATTCAACGACGGCCACCGGACGGCTGGTTACGTACTTCGGTATTACGTGTACCCGTGCAGTCGAGTGCTCGCGCGGATGCGGACACGGGCACGGGCACGCTCGCGTGTCGTCACCCGGCGCGATCTCGTTACGCGTCCGGGGGTTCGCCTCGTATACCTTACCCCGGTTGTTGCGGCATCGGGTCCTGGCTCGATGCGCTCGCGCATGCCACCGGACGAGCACCTCTGGTACGTTATGTACGTATTTCGCGATCGTTCAACGATTAATTAGGACGCTGCGCGATAATGGACACCGCGGGATTACGGGCGGAAATAATAACCTCGCGATATGGTCGCGACGAAAGCGTCGCGGCGAATGCCTTCCGCGACCGTCGGTGGTCGGATCTTCTTGCGATTCGCGGTATCGTTACCGTTGATAGCGCCGATATCGGGTTTTAGTTATTTTATTTAGGGAGTACCGTTCTCTCCAGTCGACGCCACCTATCCCTTCGACTCGGTTTCGGCCGGCGCCGAATCAGCCGTGAATAATTTCTTTAAGCCCCGTGGAGATGAAAGCATCGACGCGAACGAATACCGGTGCTGTCATTGCTTGCGATTTTTCCCCGGTACGGTAGTCTAGGAAGGAAGGAACCGAGCTAGAATTGTTTCTCTAAGCAGACACCGTTGACACTACGGAGGAGCGGATTGTTAGAGATTCACTTTGTTTCGACAGAAACTGGTATATCATCATGGCTTATGTGGAAAAGACTAATTTGGCTTATTGAGCATCTACTTCTAAATGGTCAGATTAATCACCATGGTCAAGGTCATCTTTTTTTTCCCTCCATTAAAGGGGACTTAACTCTATATTCGTGATTTATGTAAATCGTCTTCGTCGCTTGATATGTTTATGATCGTGAGGGTGGATTCTAATTAACCAGGGTGAGGGGTAACTAAAGGCGGGTCGAACTTGGAAATGAACTGTGGCCGATCGTCGCAAATGTCAAAATGACCATCGGTACCGCTCACCAGCACTGACAGGGTGAGCCGTTGGCGTTTACGGTGTTCGTTCAAGTCGCGACTTTAGTCCGTGTGAGCCGGATAAGGTCCTTCTCGCGATCGGGGGGTATTTTTGGAACCGTATCAGGGAGTGGTCGCCTTTTTATAGGAAACTAATTTATCCCCTGCGGCGCATTCTGGAGGTCCGGTCGAGCGCCGAGGGGGCCCCCTGGCGGCGTCTTTGAGCCGTTTCCCCCGAATGCAGATTCGCCGGAGTAGAGATGATCGGTCGGGAGGTGCCTGCGGTGCTTTACCTCGGGAAAGCCCCTCCTGTCCGATTCGCGTGCACGCTCGACGTCCCATCGCGACGAAGAGAGGGGGTTCCCTCGAATCCCCTCATTCCCCGTGGAACCGTCGCGACGGCGATGCCTGGCGCCTGGGACCGATTTTGATGGTCAATCGGTGATCGGTGGAGATCGGTTACTCGCGGGGAAGGGGCGGTTCGACGGCGATCGGTGATACCGTGAGGCTCGCCCCCCGCGAACGGGCCCTCGAAATAGGTACCGTTCCGACCGGAGGATGCGCGCCCCTCTCGCAATCTCTCGGCCTCGGCGCAATTTCCCCGGCGTGTAATCTCGGGCCCGGAGT